GTAAGCTGAGGAAAAGGGAATACCTACCCAAATCAGCGAGGAAATTCAATTTCGAGTAAAATTCAAAATCGATTAAAAAACAGCACCCGATAAGGAGGACTCAAATCGATCTGGGAAAGACTATTCAAAATTCAACAACTGTCAAACTCCATCCATTCATCCACGCGCCCCCACAGAGATTCACCGCCTGATTACTTTTATAAGTCTCAAGGCGAATATTTTAGTCGAATAGGAAAATCGACTCTTCCTTCAAGGCTACCAACCCAATCAATGAAGTTTGACAGTTACGCTGACGTAAGCGGTTCGCTATCATAGACAAAACACGTGTCCTACGTGTGTCAGTGTCACGCTCCGTTTAAAAACAAACACTACAGTATCCCCCCACTCACGGCAGAATTCACGTAGGGAATTCGTCGAACGCCCTCGTTCGTATATCCCCATGTCTTATGTACTTTAGTTAAGATATGATTAAGTTATGTTGTATAAAATAATAGAATATTATAAACCGCTAAGTTAAAAAAAAATAAACATACAGAACGATAAATCATTGATAAATCTCTAAGTTGTAACAAAAATAGATAATAATAAATGACAATAGTAACACAAAGTGTATACCACTCAAGGCCGTACCGCAAGCATCTTTGCTCCGAAAATAGATATAATAAAAAAAATTATAATGTTACCAGTTATACCGAGAAAAACATAATGGTAGAAAATTAACCAAAGAGATGTTATTGGTCAAAGGCGATTTGCTCACAAAATTACATGTTGTGCGTTCGTCCATCGTGTGTCTCATTTACTGTCTCCCGAGAGAAATAAAAAAAATATCATAAATATTCTATGCTCATCATAGGATATTATGATAAAAGTTGTTGTTAATACGTTTTCATTTGTATTAGCAACTTCAATACAATGCCTTGGTAGGTAAAAAACTAACAAGCACATTAACAAAACCTTCTCCTGGAAAAGTTAAGAGACAATTAAGTGTTTAAGCATTAATTAGGTGGCAAACAAAGAGATCACACTATCGGGGACGAACACACACATGGGTATCTAAGATGCAGTGTGATACCAAGACCCATTGACGATTTCTACGTCACGCCGGGCAGAAGGCGGAATGGGTATTCGTCGGCCGCCACATCCACGGCGATAAGTCCCTACCTAAATAGCTATTCGGGGTCAGCGCTTTTGAAATCCTTTATATGCCATTTGCCTACATACTTCCCGTTTTCGTCTTCGAGCTCGTAAACGAGTGGGGAGAGTTTACGGATTATTTTGCAACGTTCATATTTCGGTGCAAGTTTGACTGAAAAGTATTTATGAGCCGCGCTTTGTTTATACGTCCGTTTCCAAATGTAATCGCCTACGTTAAAGGAAATATCCCTACGACGCCTGTTATAATATTTAACGTTCCTATCGTGGGCTTTTCGCAGTGAGTCCTTGACCTTTTTAAAGATTTCACCTAAATGACCCAGATTAGACGCATGAGTATCCCGGGGTACTATCACTAACTCGTCAAGATCGTTGAAACCGGCATAAATACTACCATCGGTAACAGCCTCCCATACCATGAACTAACATAAACGGAGTATATGACGTGGATTCGTTCACAGAGGTGTTCATAGCGAACTGGATCTTATGAATATTCACGTCCCAAGATCTATGGTCATTTTCAACTAACGAGGCCACCGCAGTGATGACAGTACGGTTATAACGTTCGACAGTGTTAACCTGAGGGCAATACACAGGACCCAAATGGACTTGTGGTATATTATATTTGGCATACAAAGATTGAAGTTCATGGCTTACAAATTGCGATCCGTTATCGGAGATCACGGTTTGAGGTATACCATGAATCAAAAAGACATGATCCTCCAGTCGTTGAGCAATCACCCTACCCGTAGCTCGACGTAAAGGAAATAATAAACAATATTTTGTAAAGCAACACACTACTACCAGCAAATAGTTGTTTTGCTGTCTGGACATCGGCAGTGGGCCAACTAAATCGATGCTGATGCACTGGAATGGCCGACAGCAAACTTTAGGTTCTCCCATGAACCCAGGAGTTGCCAGTGAACTGTGTTTGTATGCGTTGCAAACCGAGCAACTCTTAATAAAATCCACGGTATCCTTATACATACCGGGCCAAAAATATCTTAATTTTAAACGTTTATAAGTTTTTGCCACACCAAGATGAGCCGCGATTGGTTCAGAGTGGTTCTGTTTAATTATAGATTCCCTACTCTCAATCGGGATAACCTGTTTCCACTGGTAATCACCACTGAGCTTATTACTACTTTTTGTGAAACGGTATAACCTACCATCAACTATCTGAAAATTTGGACAAGCTCTAGGTTTGTCCGTACAACGTTTAATTATATTATTATACCACGAGTCGGCTGTGGCGTCCGTGATGCCTATAGATGCCACGGGAACAGAGCGGGATAACGCGTCAGGTACCACATTTTGTGAGCCACTGCGATGTTCTATTACAAATTTATAGGGTGATAATCTACAACCCCAACGCGCCGTGTTTGTTACAAATACCACCTAGACTAGACTGAATAAGCTATTTAGTGGATTTCAGAGGTTCTACGGCTCGTTTGATCGATATTGGTGACAAACTTAGTTAATTCTAGTTCTCAGTGAGATAACCAGTTATATAGATATATGTTTATATATGGAAATGGGTAAGTCGGGGTCCAACCTCGCCTGGTGGTTCCTTTCCACGTTCGCCCGGGGTTAGTAGAGAAATACCTTGATTATGATAGGTTAAGCTGTGTATAATCTGTCTGCTGTTACGGCCGGGTTACATAAAACCGGAGAGCGGCTGGCAAACAAACTCCCGCGTCCCTTCTGGTCCGTGTACAGAAAAAAGTCTCCTTGTTAGTCCTCCAGTATTTCTTGAGGGGAACGTACAAGCCTGAAGTTCACATTGAAAAAAATGATCAGATATGGGGAAAATACATAGATTACCACATCTGTAGTGGGTGAGGGAGTGAGGGATATTCACGGTTAAAATTTGAATCACTACAGGACTGGGCCCGTCCCACCCGGTTTGAAGAAAATCAATTCCACGTTCACTAACTTGACAAGAATGATTAGGTATATTTGCTGACAAGAATCACTATATTGTGCATAATGCAGTTCAATTAGTGCTAGGAGAATAAATATGAGGTCAGATGATAGCTCACCGTTCGAAATATGAAACTATCCGTAAGTATTTTGTTTCCTATCACAAGTTACCGCCTTATTATTGCAATCGCCTTGCGAAGGTTCGTGTTCGTCCACCTACGATACAGAATATCAACAGAAAGGTTATTTTCACAGCCCAAACTTGCAAATTATGTAGGAAAAAGAGCCACTCCAATATACCTACGAAACTCAGTTCGGTTAGCGACTCCGCGCTTTTTCCGCCAATATCCTTCGGGATATAAACTTTTCGGATCTATCTCACGACTCCGACGACAATAGTATGCCGTTTATTATACTTTGGGCAGAAGAAAAGATGAAAAGTTAACTGTACCACAAACAGATTGTGAAATTTTAAAAGTTGTTTTGACAATTGCTCATAGATGATAGACGGATCGTCCACTCCCAAACATGTGTCTATGATTTGTTTCCCACTTCAACTGAAGGCAAAGGCCACAGTCAAACAGACAGCCGCCGCATTCGAGACGAACCGAAGAATAAACTCAAAACTATATACCTACGCTCGCCGTAAGCTGAGGAAAAGGGAATACCTACCCAAATCAGCGAGGAAATTCAATTTCGAGTAAAATTCAAAATCGATTAAAAAACAGCACCCGATAAGGAGGACTCAAATCGATCTGGGAAAGACTATTCAAAATTCAACAACTGTCAAACTCCATCCATTCATCCACGCGCCCCCACAGAGATTCACCGCCTGATTACTTTTATAAGTCTCAAGGCGAATATTTTAGTCGAATAGGAAAATCGACTCTTCCTTCAAGGCTACCAACCCAATCAATGAAGTTTGACAGTTACGCTGACGTAAGCGGTTCGCTATCATAGACCAAAACAGCTGTCCTACGTGTGTCAGTGTCACGCTCCGTTTAAAAACAAACACTACAATGTAGTATATTAAATGAAAGGAAAAGCGTGAAATCTTAACTTAACTGAATGGAGACTAAAAGCAGTTTTATCCCACCAGATTACGATTAGTATAATATAATATTAGTATCCCACAGATACGAGTTAGTATTTTTATTATCTTCGACGTCATTTATTCATTCTAATAACGAATAAAGAATTTTTTGCACATGTCTAAAATGCAGACTTAAAGAGTCCAGTAAGGTACCAGTCTCAGTGGGGGCGCCGTACAACCTCTTAGGTACCAGTAATTTAAATGAGGTATGCAAAGAGATATGTTACATATTTTTGAAAATGGAATAGCGAATTAGAACTCATAGTCTTAAGTCTTGTTTGCTGCATCAATATTTACCATAATCTCTTGTCTATTAGACAAGTCCGTCCGTCTGTGGCGCTGTTTCAGCGGCCAAACCGTAAGAGATAGATAAAGAGAATATTTAAGTTATAAGTTAAGAATAGTCTGATAAGACTACAAACCGGATTTGAGTAACGTAGCACTTCCGGTTTTCGAGAAATCAGGTTTTGGTGAACATTTGGTTCACTGGTTTGCTAGTAAATAATAATCTGTCAATCGATGCCATAAAAATACAGAATGTAATTTTTTCGATTTTTTGCCAGTTCGATTACCGGGTGTGGCAAGCAAATTTTCGAAAAACTGTGAATGCAGTAGTGTTTCTTTTTAAAAATAAAGGAATGTTTCCTTTGAATAAAATTATCTATCTCCAGTATTTGGAGTACTTCCCCTGGGGGTGGCATTCAAAATTTCCACTTTGTATATTTTTTTCCATTGATCGAGTCTCCGTCGTATATCAGAAACAATAGTAACAAGTTGAACATAAGAACGAAATAATGAGTAGGAATAAGTTAATTGAAGGCTTTGTTTCCAGATGGCAGCGGAGGTGGCGAGCGTGCAGCTGAGACAGGCGAGGCGCCGCCCGCCGTGGACGAGCCCGCCGAGCCGCCGCCCGCGCCCGACGCTCCGCCTGCCCCCGAGGTTAAGGCCGACTGAGCCCGCGGCATCTCGCCCTCTCGCTCGCACCACTCCCAACTCGTTCACAAGTCGCCCACGTCGCGGTCACGGCGTTGACTTTAGGTTTTTCGGTATTCTAATTAAGTCGTAAATTATGGAAGTGATTTAAGATTATTTAAGATGCGCACGTGTCGCCGTGCCCGATGCCCGGCGGCGCGGCTCGGCCACTCCGCCTCCGGCCCGGCGGTCGCTAGCTGCGCCCTGTTTGTATATAAATATTTGATCGGACGGACATCCGGCTGTCTACTTGACTGTTACATTTAAGTATATATAAACGCGAAAAGTCGGCGGCCTCGCTACTCGCGGCCGGAGTATCGCGAGGACTACACGTCCGACTGACAGATGCTGCCTCGAGACCTCTCATTAGTGAATATGTAGCGACGGTTTTTGCAGAACGAATGTCGATGCAATATAAATGAATAATAAATGTAATTCGGAGTGAAAGCGTACCGTTCGACGTTGATCGTCGAGCGCACGTTTAAACTCCATGTATCATAATCAATTATTATATGCGAATAAAATTATAATGACCTATTCTTTTGTTTTTATTCATAATTAATATACCTTATCTGAAAGTATTAAATTTTCTGACATAACCAATGTCTTAAAGTGTGTTCAGACTACGCTGTACTATTGCGCTAAATTGAAAACACGATAACTTTGCAAAGTCCATAATCTGATGACACCAGAAAAACTGAAAAACAAAATCTGATGTCATTCTTATATTATTATGTCATGTCGTGCATGAACCTTTCGATTGAAGAATTTTTTGGTTTTTTTGTTTGTGGACTGAATAAACGAGAAAAAATTGGGGTCGGAGAAGTTATTTATTGAATAATAAGTCCTAATTAATCTACAAAAGAACAAATGAAGTCGATTCTTATGAATAAAGAGCTATGATATAAAGAAATCCTAACCTCAACGAGTGAGTTGAAATTAATTTCTTGATACTAGTTTGCAGCTTAAGAAAGGCTAGAAAGAATTCGACACGGCCGTCAGGGCTGCGGTAGCATAATTGGTCAGTGCATTCACCCGGAAAGCGAAGGGTGCGGGTTCGAGTCCCGTCTGCTGCCTGGTACGCATGGAATTTTTCTAGTAATATTTTCTTTAATTTTGTTTTCACATAAAGTTAGATAAACTACACACATCAAAAGTGTCTAGGGATCAAGCATTTTTATGCGGATTTCTTGAGATTGAGATGTGGCTTTGTAATAAATTTATGATTTTATAAATTTATATGGATCCTTTTTGGTGCATTTCATAATTTGAATCAGGAACTGTGAATCAAATTCGAGTAAAAGATGAAAATCAGCTGTCAATATTTTCCCTATAAAAACATACAACGCATTGAAGACATTATTAGTGCTACTGTTTCCCTACTACTGATTAAAACCAACGTTATTATGGAGCGGCGACGTCATTTAAGCAGGGAAGAAATGCTCAGAGCCGTGGGAATGATAGAAGCTGGTTCCCGGCAACGTACTGTGGCTTTAGCTCTGAATACAAGTCAGAGTGTTATCAGTCGACTTTGGACACGATACCGAAGCACTGGTACCGTGGCTGAGCGCCATGGAGGACGGTATCGCTGCACCACACGGAGACAAGACCGATACATTCAAATCTTAACTCGAAGAGCTCCAACAATAACCGCCATGATGTTAGCCGTGAGGCTTCATCACTCTTCAGGGAACTTAATTAGCGACCAAACAGTCAGAAACCGCTTGCATGAAGTGAACCTTCATTCCCGAAGACCGCTACGGGTACCACCTATAGCAATGCATAATCGTAGGATTCGATATCAATGGGCTCTTGAACACAGAAATTGGGCAGAAGAACAATGGCGTTTCGTGTGCTTTTCTGATGAGTCTCGTTTTGGTATGAGACCGGATACAAGACGTATACGACACTGGAGAACCCCTGGACGCCAACAGCGATTAAAATCCTGCCAAGAAGTCCATCCTTATAGTGGTGGAACCATCATGGTATGGGCGGGTATTTGGATCGGCGGAAGAACTGAGTTGATTTGGATCAGAGGCAACCTCAACGCTCAAATTTATGCTGAGACGATTGTATCAGACGTCATCGTTCCTCTACAAGTGCAAATCGGTCCCTTATTTCAGTTAATGCATGATAATGCACGACCGCACACCGCAAGAGTTGTAAGACAGACTCTCGCCGCAGCTAACATCAATGTCCTGCCCTGGCCTGCTCAGTCGCCAGACTTGAACCCGATTGAGCATGCATGGGATATGCTACAGAGAAGAGCTCTGCCGAATATGGAGGGTATCCAGTCGCAAGAAGACCTTTTTTTGTTGTTGCAACGAACATGGGCGGCCATTCCACAGCGTGATTTGGATGAACTCATTTTGAGTATGCCAAACCGATGTTCTTGTGTTGTTAGTGTTCGCGGTAGAAATACGAATTATTAATTGTTTAAATTACCCAATAAAATTTTAGAGAAAACTGTTATTTCAGTCTTTTTTTCGAACTTTTGTGTTAGTGGTTCAAATGTCAAAAATCCCTTTATTAGGAAAATGGCAAATTTCTTTATTAATGCAAAGGTGACTTGGTTTATCGTTACTGTGACAAACGAAAACACTTTATTTGATGAATCCTTAAAGAAAATTTTAATTAATATCAATCAGGAGAAAAGTTATTGCAAAAATATATGTTGATCCCTAGACACTTTTGATGTGTGTATTAGACTACAGACCCGTGGCAAAACTTGATGGGTCATTAGAACCACCAGAAGACCTATTTAGAACGATAGAAGGACATTAAATAATAAGATTTAGCACTATGCCGTGACTGGTAAGCTGTCCAACTGAGTGCAGGTGAGAATTCAAAAGTACAGACAGAGGGAGTACATTTTGGTCATATATTTTTGAACGGCATTCTTACCATCGATAGATCCATGAAAAATAATAAGAAAACACGTAGTGCCGTACAAAAATAATGCTCCACAAAGTCGTGAAAACTTAATTCTCCGATGATTTTCAGGCTAAAGGACTATGGGCGGAATCGTCCCCACCCATCAACACAAATGAAATGTAGCTCAATTGATAGATCTTGGCAAGATGATAGTTTTTTACTATGGCGACGTTACCCAAATGCATGGGGTTCTCATGGTATCTTACGTTTAAATAAATATCTCATTGACGTATTATTGACGACTAATTCCAAAATACCTACTCATTTTCCTTTTCATTAGTGTACAGAGGCGGACTGTGCATGGTCATAAAGATAACACGTTACAAAATAACCCCATCCCCCCGCTCCCCGCCCCATGCTCCTGCGCGGGCGTCCTAACCTTAGGCCGTATACAGAAAGAAAGCCGAAAGCCGATCGGCGCCGATCGGTGCTTATCGGCGCCGATCCTTCCTACATAAAGGAAGCCGATTAAAGCAGATCAAGCAAAATGTCGGACTCATCGGACGATGATTTGGTTTTGTTAGAAAATATTTATTTAAAAATGCGAAAAACAGCTATACATCCTATAAATAGAGAAAGGAAACGTTTCGGAGCATACCATCATTTATTTGTAAAAAAAAATTAATTTGATGAACAAAGATTTTATACATATACAAGAATGATTCAAGAAACATTTTATTACATTTTGGATTTAGTGAAAAACCGTTTGATGAAAAATTGGGGCAATTGGCATAAACAACCAATCCTTCCAGAAGAAAGACTTGTTGTCACCATTCGGTAAGTACGAAACAAATAATTTTAGCGCTTAGTTAATAAAAGATAAAGTTATTAGATTTATAAAAAGATTATAACTTAGATTGATTTAATCTAAGGATAATAATTCAAATACAAATTATTTATTATTCGGACCAGCGCGTGTCGGCGCTTATCGGCGCCGGTCCATAGAAAAAGGATCAGCGTCAATAGGCGCCGATAAGCGCCGATCGGCGCTGATCGGCGCCGATCGGCTTTCGGCTTTCTTTCTGTATACGGCCTTAGTCACAGTCAGTTCTCTGCATTGTACGTTAACGTGTTATTTCTTTTTGTGTTTTCGGTGTTTACTTTAAGTCTCTTCCGAAAGCTTTGACTTCCTACCCTTATGCTGCGTTGCACATAATAGTACCCTCTTCCCTGAGGATCCGAACCACATTTTCGAGGTTTTAGTTTACGTCTGATGTGGTTTCCACGGCAGCATATCGGTTCTCCAGATTTAACTGGAACGTTTCAGATCATGTTATAGATTGGCGCAGAGTAGGTTGGAGCCTGGATTTCATCAAACGGACGCGCTCGGCCTTAAAGTTGATATTCAGAGAGCCCCGGACGAGTCAGTGATCACTACCGGTATTGAACCTGTTGATCACGGAGACGTCTCTGAATATGAAGCTCTTGTTCGTCACGATGAAATCGATCTCATTTTTAGTCATAGTATCGGGGCTTTGCCACGTCCACTTCCTTTGGGGCTATTTCTTGAAGAAAGAGTTCATCAAGACGAGCCCTTTCTGTTTGAGGAAGTTGACGAGCATTTGCACCCTATGATTTCTGCTTCCAAATCAATGGAATCCTACTTATAACATAACAACGTTGTAGTAGGTCTTAGTAGTGGAGTGGAGGGCCCTCGATATATCATCGAACATATTCTCCACCTCGTCGTTCGAGTGTGTCGATGTCGGTGCGTACACTTGCACCGCCTTGAGGCTATACCTCTCGGTGAACTTTATAATAAGGTACACTACCCCATTCGACACGCTGGACATTTCCACAACGTTATCGGCAAGGGACTTATTTACCAAAAACCCAACGCCACCTTGGGACTGTTGGTCTCCCCCGCGGAAGTACATTAGGTGGCCCGATTCGAGGGTTATGGTGTCCTCCCCCTCTTCTTCCTCGTCGCCTTTGTCCTCTTCGGACTTCACTAACTCTAAAACGTGCCATCTAATCTTCCCAAGTTCCACCTCGAGTTGCGCCAGATGCGAGTCAAGCCGTAGCGTGCGTGCGTTGTACGTCGCCAGGGCCAGTCTATTGTGGTGGCCTCCCGTAGCCCGGAGATTCTTGGCACACCCTGCCCCGCCGTTACCATGGTCGCCACCGTGACCAGGAATAACGGGGCTGCCGGGAACTGGGGGCCGTGGTTTGTAGTCTGTGTGCATTAAAGATATTGCCCGTAATCACCACGTTGGGCAGGCGGGTTGGTGATCGGTACACAGCTACAATAATAAACATAAGTGAGTAAAAAAGGCACGATAATAGTGTGCAATAGCATGCACTATTTTTATTGGCCTACTATGAGTGTTATAAGAATATAAATCATTTATATCAATTATATACATATAATAGATAACTACCATTTCAAATACGTTTTGTATATTTTGTTTAATAACTCAATCATATTTTGTACTGTAATATAACCATAATATTAAAATAACTTACAAATGTGAAATAAAAATATACGTTAATTAATAATTACAAATTGTTTTTTGACGTGACAACGTCTTAAATTAGGTTGCGGCTGGGAGTCACTTATGAAAAAGTGTAACGCTCGGTAACGTTACGATGAGTTTAAGTTT